TCTCAAGCTTCGTCCAGTATTTCTTATACTCAGAGATGTCAGCTGGCGAACATTAAGTTTTTGTGGGTTAGAAGACTCGAAGCTGGCCTTTGCTTCCTTTTTCGCATCAACTCTAGCTCCAGTCTTCCGCACATTGACACTGTCACTCCGAGAGATCGGTCTTATGCCACGCGCAACTCCTGCATGGTGATTCCGCCGCCTCTTTGTACTACATCTAAGCGCTCCGTCTTCTTTGCTTCCAAATATGCCTTCCTTTGGAATAATCTTCCGCCTGAAATTAGATTATCGCCTAAAATACTCGTATTCAAGTCGAAATTACGCAACCATCTTACACCGGAAAGCATAAAGGCACTGTTAACGGTCTCATTCCCGAACACTCAGATTCTTGACTTCGAGAAGGGTCTTCCTGGGATTTAGTTGTAGATTAAGTGGCAACTCTTAATTATATCATTAAAAACCCCCTGTTTTCAATTGGTTTCTAAATCCACTGCTATCACCCCCCCATAGCGACAATTTTCGCGGTTTTGAATTGGTTTCTAAATCCACTGCTATCACTCCCCCCCATAGCGACAATTTTCGCGATTTTTGATGTCATCTCCCGCATTCCGACCTCATGCGGTCTGTCGACGCTCACGGCGGAACCCTCAGTATTCATTGTCTACTAGTAGTTCGGTCGTACCTCCCTTCCTTACTGCTCGGCTGAGCTCGAACCGTGCTGTGGCCGATCGCATCTCGGTTCCTCTCGTCTGGCCTCTTTGATGCGGCGTACCAATCCGGCCCAGACGATCTCAATTGTGAATCCCGTATACAATGCCATATGCAAGCCAGTCCTGTCTGACCCACATTCGTACCCATCAAGGCTGACATTTATTGCTACCCTGACGATGACCGACAACATTCGGTTATATACCGCCACCTACAGGCCAGTCCTGCTCGCTTTTTTCTGTCATTATTTTTATGGAGGGTTTTTTTCTCCTGTAAAATCAATCCAATCATTTTTAACTTTTTGTAAGGAGTTTTTTTTTCACCCCTCAATCATCATGTTTCTCAATGGACTTCTAATTCAGAAACTATGACTTGCATTTTGTAAAGATTCGGCCTACCTCGTCTAAAACTCGCATGTAAATTTATTTTAACTTGCTTTGATGGGACCCCGACGGGTCTTTAATAAAAATGATCTATCTAACTATCTTGTCTAAGGGATAGTTGGGGATATGTGTTAACTGATAACTCCGATAAGATTAATATCTTATCTGATTTCTTCATGTCCGTGTATGTCAAGGAGCCGCCCTTTGCCAATAAATTGTACCGCTAAATTGTCATGTTTAGGAATACAATTAGCACGGTGACGTTAACAACGAACATAGTGAGGAAAACTCTGGGGTTGTTACAGTCCACTAACTTACTTATTTCAGATGACTTATCCGCGAAAGTTATGAATAAACTCGCAAACCAGCTGGTTTCCCGCTCTTTAAGATCTTCGAGTATTCGATGGAGGCTGAGAGTCAGCCTACTGACTGGAAGCTGGCCGACCTAAGCCCCATGCATTAAGAGGAGAGAGAACTTCAACAGACAGTTACAGAACAATGATTATCACAAGCATTTGTTGCAAAATAATGGAGAAAATAATAAACAAACGGGACAGTATTGAGCAGAACAACTTGCCCATTATTCATCAACATGAATTTAGAAGCGGCCGTTCCGGTCTCAACAACCTCATCAAATCCAAGGAAAACTGAAGAAGATTTTTAGAAATGGCTTTGTTAGTAGAAACAGCCTATACTGACTTCAGCAAAGCCACACAAACAGCTAATGTTTAAACAGCGCCAAATGGGTGCGACTGGCAACATACTCAAATGGTCGACTGACATTCCCATAAGCAAACGCCAGCGTGTTTGTATTTGATGTGTGAAATCAAAGTGGGAAACAATTCACGGTGGGTTTCTGCGGGTTAAGTCGTACTTTTGATAAATGGGAACGACTGCTTCGATTGCCTGATCCGTGAGAAAGTAATGTTCACCATTGACCTGAAAATATGAAATTCAATAGAAATGCCAGAGAAAGCGTTCTACTTGCCAAGTAGCTTGGATTGATTGCAGCAGTGATACGACTAGTGGCTCAGATTCAACAAACGCCCAGTCATTCGACTATGGTTTTGTTACAGAAAGATGATGGGATGTGATCATAAGTATATCATCGTAGGTCACCAAATCGAGTTAGTAAACGAGAAGAGGGACCTATATGTGCTGAGGACGTCCACACTTAAACCTTTATCGCGCTGCCCCAAAATGGCAAATAACGTTATGTGTATTCTAGGAGCGATCAGACGGTCCTTCCTCAAGGCTGACGAAAAGCCTTTTGGTCGAGTGTTTAGAATATATTTCCCGTCGGCGTTATAACATGGCGTTCAGGCGTGAGGCCCCTGAATGAAGCAGGATCACATTCCTTCGGAGGACACTCAGTAGACGGTGGCCAAACAAGTCAGCGGAATAAACTGCCTATTATATGAAGGGCGAAATGAACAGCTTATAATATTGCATTAAGTTCATGAGCAATGCAAAGAGGACATTATCATTGTTTCCAGCTGGTCAGAGCAGAAGATCATGCACTTCAGTTGGTCGATTGTTGGACTTATAAACAGCAATTTGTCAGGGCCGCTAATATAGATTGAAGACAAATTACGTCAAATTTAAAGCAAGGCCAACTGCGTCTCCCCCGGGGTGACTTAATAATGGAACACATTTTTTCATTCGTTCGTTTTGGCTGAATACATTTAAGCATTTAACTGAAGACCTGGTGGCTATCTGTTTGCTTGGTCACATAACGGTGTAAACAGTTTCACGTTTGAAGCTCCGTCTGCAAACAGGGTTATAAAAGACTCCGCCTATCCCTCTTACAAATACCGAATTGTATGTTGCNGAATCTATTCCACTCTCTCCTCCTTGCCCACCCAGACCCAGTTTCGTGACGAAGTTAGGAAAACCTGAAGCGGGATAGAAAGCAGGTGGCTTACATGACGTAAACTCGCATCTAGGTGTACCACAACACCTCCTGTTCCTCAGCAGACACTGAAGAGGAATTTATGCCATAACATAACATAGGCGACAGCACGGACCCTAACAGGCGCGGGGTGAAGCGGCAAATGCGCCTGCCACCACACCCCACCACGCCTGCCAGACTCCGATCTAGCCCCCTGGTGGGTCCAGTACCTCCACCGCGTGGCCCGTATGAGGGAACAGATGCGGTGTTTATTTCTGAGGGCAAAAAATATTTGTTATTTTGAATCAAAAAATCTCGGCGAGTAATTGAGAGACAGCAGGCATGCTTCTTTGGACAATGTGGGGTCTATATTTAACGGTAAGTCAAAAGTGAGTAGGACGCAAACGC